GCTTACACCCCTACCTTTTCTAACTGGGTTGTCCATTAGCTCATCTTCTAATGAAAATGGCCCTTTCCAGTTCGCTTATTCCTGGGTGTTCTCCCGGATATAATGTCAGCATTGTTACAAACATTTCGAATAGAAATCAACTTCGCAACCAGTTCACGCTGAGGGCACTTAAAACTGCTTATAAGCTGCTATCAAACTCAAGTTGGTCAGAGCATTGGATTCTTGTAAGAACCAACATATTAGATCCTTAAATAGAAAAATCATTTTTTGCTAAAATTTGGGGAAGATTATTTTACCGAAAATTGCAGAGAAACATGAAATCGTTTGGAAAGCCAGATCAAAGATGCAACATATCAAGCTGAAGATATCATTGAATACCATAATTCAAGTCGAATACATTTAGAATTGGAAGTTTCTTCAAGCAACTGATTTATGCTGGCAGTCCAAAACCTTGTTCGGGCAACCAGGAATCATGTTTTAGGGCACAAATGTGGTGACTTGGAGAAAGAAAGTGATACACGAAATTGATTGGGTTACAGGACAGGTGTGCGTTGAAGGATCTAATACTAAAGAATTATTTGCTTCTGGTTCATCAAGACTTGAATATGAAGGGATATCTATGGCGGGATTTGATGATGACTTGATCCAAATCATGGTTGGCTCATTGGCAACAATTGAAACTCCAAATCATCCCAGTTATTGGGATGGGAGGCATTGGTAAGACTACTCTTGCTAGAAATCTTTAAAATGATCCTTGTGTAGTTCATCACTGCGATACTCTTTCTTGGATTTTATCTCAGGATTATCAAGTGAAAGAAACTCTTCTAGTCGGCTAGTCCATGGTTCTTACTGATGAAAAAACAGCCAGAGACTATTGAAGAATTAATTTGTAGCAGTGATGGACAGTGCAGAAAACCAGGCAACGGTCTGCAGCCAAGAGAGTACCCAGGAGAAAATTTGAGATTGAGTTTGGCCAGCAAAATCTTGCAAATTATCATCCTACAAGAACAATGTAAAACACAAGTGAGGGGTTGCTTCAGCATGCAGTTCACATAAGGGCATAGATCATAATCAATAACAGACAATTTTGATTAGATCCATATTGTTATAAATATTAATTTTTAGTTATACTTAATTTTCAAAGCATCTAAATTTTCTATCAATCCATCGTAGTACAACAATAATAACAAAATAAATCCACTTTGCGACGGGATGCAACCAATAGACCACATAAACTCAAGCTTGACTTCAGTCACCTCATACACAACAAAAAGAAACAAGACCGAAATAAGTCAAGTTATATTCAGGAATGATATCCTAGGGAAGTTTACAACATGATTACGGGTATTGTTGTGGATTTTTATGTAATTTTTAGATAAAAAATGAGGTTCTCTAATACAAGGCCATAAGCATGGTTAGATTTAACACTTAAACAATCCTCTTATTCAATGGGAAAAAAATTGAAAAAATAACTGGTTCGTATGTGCATCCACTAGTATATAGAACTACAAGAAAATATAGAGGAAATAAAGCAAAAATTGCACTCCAAACTACAAAATATTTGAAGTTCAACAGCATTGGGAATTCAAGATTTACCCTGATCCTTTTATCTTAATTTTACTAACCTCGATTCATTCAAGATCAAGAAAGTTGTAGTTTTTAGGCAGAAAGGAGCTTTTACCTTTGAAGGCAAAGTGCAAGTGCAGAAGCCATTCCACGGTTGTACCAGTTCAGGATTTTCGTCATGAGCACCGAAATGGATTGGTTCAAGCTAGTACCCCAAAAGATCTTCACCAATGTGAAGCAGTAGCTAAGAATCAGTCACTGAAAATGGATATTGTCCGACTCCAGTGCTCTAGATCTGCCCACTCAATATGAAGGGGTTCTAGTTTACAGACTTCCCTTTCCATTAAATCCCCTTCTGGCCTTCGGGAAGGCATTAATTTGCAGTTTTGGCATCTCAAGGTTCTCATTTGAACCGACTTTCACCAAGAGTAGTCGTACCATGCTTCCCATCCCAAAAACTAGGATGATTTGGAGTTCCGATTGCTGCCAAAAACCCAACCCATTACTTGAATCAACTCATCATCAAACACCGCTATATTTTCCTCAGAAAAGGCTTGATAAATCAGGCAAAGAATCCCTTAGCAAAACCTTTAATCGACACCTGTCCCCATCCCCTCTGTAATCGAATCAGTTTCTGCTGATATTCATGCCCTAAAAGACGATTCTTTCTAGAAGAAATCAGATTTTGAAGAGCATACATCAATTGATTGAAGAAAATTTCCAATTTTGTAAGAATCTGACTCGAAACATGGGATTCA